GATATGTTAAAAAAACGGTATCAAGCCCGTGACCGGCCAAAATGGTCGCGGACAGTTCGTCGTGGACAAAACGTCGCATGCACTTTTGGTCGTTGCACTGTTTCGTCGTAGAGACCGATCGTTGCACTCTCCACGTCACGAGGGCATTACAAAGGCTGGGAGTAGATGCAGTTCGCACAAGTCCACACGTGGGTTCCTGAGATTTATGAGAGGTGGTTTTCAGTTCCCCAACTGCATTTGTCACGTGGACACTATCAGAACTGGGTGCATGATTGTGGTCGGACTTGGCCACTACTTCATTTCTTGTGTGCATCCTACCTTTCACATTGCCATGCTGTCTTATCGAAACTTCGCCTCTCTGCAGTATAAATATACGCCTCATAATCACCTTTTGATGTCTTTGCCTCCCCTTTCCTTTTCCAGTTGATACCCATAAAGAGTACAGGGGCCCTGTTCTTTTCAACCTTTTTTATTCGCCTTGCTTTCACCCCTTTTCCCAGTGCGACTATCTTGCCTGCGACGAAATAGTGCAACTACCAAAAGTGCATGCGACGTTTTGTCCGCGACCATTTTGGCCTCGACGAAAGCGCCGGTAACCATCAAGTCACCCAATGACGGAGCTAAAATTTGATACTTGATACAGTGTGATCCTTGATATGTAGAAACTGGTTGATATTAACAATTCTGCAACATGGTTACATGAGGAGACCATAATGTGGCATTACATCGCGTACATATATATTTTTTTATCCTTAAAAGGAAATAATGGAACATATTCGGAAAATATATTTTATAAATCGTATCAAGTAGTCTCGATTTACGGCATTTTCTTTATGAAAAACCACCCTGGTTCACAAGGCCCAGAGCCCCATCTGGAGGGTAAGGTAGATGTTGTTTTGGTACATGTAGTTGCCAGGGCAATCATCATTTCATCATTATAGTGGCTTGAACTGAGGTTGTTGATGCAGTTCCTTCTGCGTCTTCCTCTGTGCGCCTGGAGAGAAATGTGAAGTCTTCGTGGTCCTGATGCACTCCTACTATAAGATAAGCCACAGATATATAGATAAGCCACAGAATCTGGGAGGTTAGATTGTTGCTTGCAGTCGAGTTTCATTTGAGCATAACAATCTGGATGAGGTTCTTCCAACCTTTTCCCAGCCTAGGCACATATGGACCTAAGGTATCTCTCGGTGACTTACAAGTCATTCCTTGTGTCATCTGAGCAATCCTGTCACAGGCCGAACTTTCATAAGACAGCCTGTCATTGCCTTTGGTTGCAGAGGACGGGAAAAGAAAAACCCTGCAACTACTGGAACAAAAATAAAGAAAGAAAATAAAATTATTACTTATTCTTTTTTTTTGGAGGGGGGGGATTTCTTTGTTCTGAAGAAATAGAATGGAGACAAATTCCTGGGTGCATGGAATAAAAAAGGCGAAACTGGGGAGTACAGCGGCAGATAAAGACAAGAGGTTGTCAAATATGAATGACGGATGTTTTGTGCTTAAATTGCGCGGCAGTTTAAGAAATGCATCTCAGCGCGTTGTCTGAAAGAGCATTTCCCGCGAGGAGGATCGGCCGTGGAGGACCAGTTGAATGACCCCTACGCTTCCAAAACCTTTCCTGCTGAACTTTTTTCTGTTGGGAACACCTCCAAAGTGTTATGTCCATAGACAGTTCACGCACTGTTGAAACGTTAATGGACAACCTACGCCAAGTGGGTGCTGATATCACAGTGGACATGCTACGAAATGTCAGGTGCCGTTTTGTGAACAGAATTAATACATGCTTAGATGGAAATGTTGCTCAGTTTCAACACCTGTTTAACTTTTACCATGGCGCAGGGCTTATGATACTCTGTACAGCAGCAACACATCCTCAGTAGTCGATACATCAGTGCTATCTCCTTACAAATGTTTAGATGACTATAAAAAATATACGCTTATAATATACTTTTAAAACTTGTAAAAATATACTTTTATAGCTTAAAACTCAAGCCGCTCGTACATCTTGAGTTTGCAGCAAGATGCGCTGAATAATCCAAAGATGGTAGGCATATATTGAAGAGGATTCAATCGCAATTAGTATTTTATTTGTTGAACAGCTTACAGTACATACAACATGGGACATGAAGAGACAGTCAGAACAAGACAGGCAATGCCTAGCTTACAGAGGAAATGAGAGGAGATAGAGAAAAGGAAAAATCATCACCCAATGAATAGTTATTTTCCCTGCTCCCAGAGCAGGCGAATCAAACTTGTCACAATTCTTCCGTTGAACTGTCCTTGCATGAAGCCAACATCTCAAAAACAACAATGATGAGAATACGGATGATGATCCCAATCAAAAATGAAGAAAAACTTGTATATATATCACCCCAAATGAAAATCAACAGGATCCTAACCTTGCGTAAAGGTATGGTTCTATGTTGTACTTCTTGCTTGCCTTAGAAGAAAGAAAAACAAAAGGAAAAGAAGAAAAGCGTAATGCACTCATCCATGAGATGAAATAATCAAAGACCAAGCGTTTCAACTCTTCAAAAAATGATTTCATGCAGCAATGGATAACAGTTCAAGATAGAGTGGCAAAAAGGTGCAGCAAGAGAAAGAGGGAGACAGGAAGGTCATGACTTAAAAAAATGCCACATCATCATCTTCTGCTTCACCTCCTTCTCTAACCATCACTTTTGGGTTTT